GGGCCCCTTCCCCATACTATCTCAGTGCAAATATCTGCCTGAAACTGTCCCTGTCTAAACTCCACCCATGGGTTGGCCAGCCTTGCCTTGACCAATAGCCTTGACAAGGCAAACTTGACCAATAGTCTTAGAGTATCGGGTGAGGCCCGGGGGCCAGCACATGCCTAGGTATGAAAAATAAAAGAAAGCTTTCTCTAACAGATCCACATACTCACTTCTGAAACATCTGAGATTATCAATAAGCTCCTAGTCCAGACGCCATGAGTAATTTCACAGCTGAGGACAAGGCTGCTATCACTAGCCTGTGGGCCAAGGTGAATGTGGAAGATGCTGGGGGAGAAACCCTGGGAAGGTAGGCTCTGGTGACCAGGACAAGGGAGGGAAGGAAGGAACCTGTGCCTGGCAGAAGTCCAGGCTGCCTCTCAGGATTTGTGATACCTTTCGACTTTCAAACTGCTATTGTTCAATCTCACAGGCTCCTGGTTGTGTACCCATGGACCCAGAGGTTCTTCGACAGCTTTGGCAGCCTGTCCTCTCCTTCTGCCATCATGGGCAACCCCAAAGTCAAGGCGCATGGTGCGAAGGTGCTGACTTCCTTGGGAGAAGCCATAAAGAACCTTGATGATCTCAAGGGCACCTTTGGCCAGCTGAGTGAGCTGCACTGTGACAAGCTGCATGTGGATCCTGAGAACTTCAGGGTGAGTCCAGGAGATGTGACAGCCCTGTTGTCTTTAGTCTCGAGGTAACTGAGACAAACGAGAATTGATCTGAGCACAGCTGAGGCTACCTTGGGGTTGGGAGTTAAGAAACTCCAGAGGACTACCTGGACTGAGACCCAGTGGTAATGTTTTAGGGCCTACGGAGTGCCTCTAAAAATCTAGAGGGACTACTTTGATTTTGAGAAAAGAGTTGTGGAAGTGAGGACAATGACTTTATTAGATTCTGGTAGAAAGAACTTTCTTTCCCTCATTTTGATTATTTGTTTTAAAGCATCTATCTGGAGGCAGGACAAGTATGGCCATTAAAAAGATGCAGGCAGAAGGCATATATTGGCTCAGTTAAAGTGGAGAACCTTGGTGGCCAAACATGTATTGCTAAGGCTGTTCACATAATTAGCTGGACACATATAAAATGCTGCAAATGCTTCATTACACACTCACATTCTATAATTCCAGACTGGGCAAAAGTGTGTCCAGGGGTGAGAAAGAATAGAAACATTTGTCCTGGAGTAGATTTTTTAAGTCAGCTGTGTGTGTGTGTGTGTGTGCGTGTGTGTGTGTGAGAGAGAGAGCACGTGTTTCTTTTAAAGTTTTCAGCCTACAAAATACAGGGTTTGTGGAGGCAAGAAGGTAGCTAGATTTAAATTATGCCAGTGACCAATGCTGCAAGGGGAACAGCTACCTGCATTTAATGGGTAGGCAAAATCCAGGCTTTGAGGGAAGTTAACATAGGCTGGATTCTGGGTGGAAGGTGAGTGTGTAGTCATCCAGAGGCCAGGCTGGAGCTCTCTGCTTACTATGGGTTTATATTTGTTGTCTTCTTTCATCTCAACAGCTCCTGGGAAATGTGCTGGTGACTGTTTTGGCAGTCCATCATGGCAAAGAATTCACCCCTGAGGTGCAGGCTTCCTGGCAGAAGATGGTGGCTGGAGTGGCCAGTGCCCTGGGCTCCAGATACCACTGAGGCCCCATGCCCATGATGCAGAGCTTTCAAGGAGAGGCTTTATTCTGCAAGCAACAAAAATAATAAAACTATTCTGCTTAGA